AACGTTATTTCGGTTGCCAATCTTGCTGCCGGGTCAATAAAATGTGCCTGTCTTACATTGATTCCAAAACAAAGATTATCAAATTTGGTTACTTGTGACATCGTCCCAATACGCGCTGGAACTCTGGGATCGTCTAACAAATAATCATATATTCATAGATTTGCATCAATATTATCGATAATCTTCATAAGTAATAACTTTAACCTGTTAACCAAGCGAGACGTATAAATACGTCAAACATATTTTGCTTCAAATGTTCCCTGCCAAGTCTCTCTTTTACTTGACTTCTTATTCAGATCAATTGATTTTCCTTCTTTAACAAAAATCAATCATTATATTTAYTTATTAATATTAACTTATGTACTTTGTTCTATATTGCATTTTGCACAATGCAATGCAATATTTTATTAGAAATATATTTTTGTGTAGAGAATTAATATTTGTTATAACATATATTTTCAGTGTATTAATTAAATATGTGTAATGGTAAGTGTATCCCACTGGTGGGATACACCTGACATGGGACGTGTTAATAGCTACATGATACAATAAAGTATAAGGTACAAACCTTTGTACTTTATATATAAATAAATGATATAAATATAAATATATTTCATAGTCTTCTAATTTATTTGAAGCATAAATAATAATAATAAATAAAAGAGGTGTATAATTAAAAAAAGGCAACTATTCGATTAACAGGTTAATAGTTGTAGATAAAAATTAATGAAATTTGTACTTACTGAATTTCCATCTTGTATGATCCGAGGACACGCAATCTTTTCCATTAAATAGATTTTCCATTAACTCGTTGATATTATCACTCTTTGGAAATTTTCCAGATATTCCAGAGATGACAACTGCATCATCGTCAACATCTATTAACGTCATATTATTATAATGTGTTTATTGTACAAGAACAACAATATTATCGAAATAAACTCGGTTTGTTCTCGATGAACCTTTTATATATAAAACCATTTGTACGAATCTTTTGTCTCTCTCTTTTTTTTTTTTTTTTTTATTTAACACTAAGAATACATTTTTAATTATATTTTAATTCAATTGACAATATAAATAATAATGCACCATTTTAAATGGAAATTTATTCGTCATTTATAATTTATTTTTTTTAATTTTTTTTATGATATATAAATAAACTGCATTGTAACATATTCGATGCATCTTTGACACACCTTTGACATTAAGCCGTTACTCTTCTTTAATATTTTTGTTTTATTTTGTTATATATACCTTTATTTTGTTATATATTATATTCTTAATAATTTTTGTTTTGTTTTGTTTTTTTTTTTGTTATATATACCTCTTACTCGATTTAACAAAACTTTATTACATTTACAATTAATTATTTATCTTATTTTTACTTGCCTTTCAAACATTACATTCTATCGTGTTTAAATAGAAAATATTTAGTTACTGTAAAAACAATATGGCGGCTGATATATGTGATTTATCATTATTTATTACAAAATTTTATTTTTATTTATTATTATTATTAATATTTAATATTATTGATGTAATAGCTAATCGTACATCATTAACGCATGATGACTTAATATAAAAAAAATTTAAAAAAAAATAAATATAAACATATTTATAACGTATAATTTGTTTTATTAACAAATAAAACAAATTATCTTTCAATAAAATAAAGCCGCATTAAAAAAAAAAAAAATTATCAAACAATACATTCATCGTTAAATATATATTTGCATACAATTTCAATTGTTTACGTTTTGGAGTTAATTTTCAATTCGTAATATATCACGATGTGAAATGCGTATCCCTTGTAATTCAAATAAACTTATGCAGACTTTTGTATTATTTATATAAGAACAACAGGGAGGAATGATGAATAAACTTTACATTCTTTTATAATACTATTTATATCCAAACTTATTCCATGTAAATTAATCGTATTTAGGAATATATTATTAATGCATTTTTTTTTTTTCTTGACACGTATTTAACTCTTAATACGCATTGTTCTTTTTTTTTTCATATCATCCTGTTTATAATGAAAACGTAACGAAAGTAGATATTTACAATAGTAACAATTGTTTTGTACTATTATTATTATTATTATTATTATTATTATATTGTTTATCGTATAAAACAAGAAATATTCGTTAAATTTTCAATCGAATTACAAAATAATAGGCCAGTAACGTGAAAAGACATTTTTCAAAAAATTGTCAGTCAACAATATGTTCATTATTAACACCCAGTATCATAGATATTAATTACTTATTATAAAATACATTTCTTTAATTAACAATTTATGTAATAAAATATTTAATACTAGGGGTGCCCCGCCATGCGTTGCTGTGGTTCCCAATCAGTCCCAATACACACGTCTTTAAGTCAACGAATTACCTTATACCGCCATCTGTTAGAATGATATACACTATCCTATCTTTCAAATTGGATGAAACTGCATACAGTGTAGAAAATTTAATTAAAATCGGTTCAGTATTTTAGGAGTTCATTGCGGACAAACAACGTGACACGTAATTTATATATATTTGGGCTAATAATTTGAATAATACGTGGCCCATTGCTAGGCCCATTAATCGGCCGATGATCAACTATTATTAATGGGCCGATGCTAAATATTTGTAATGGGCCGATGCTAAATATTTGTAATGGGCCGATACTAAATATTTGTAATGGGCCAATACTAAAT